ATTCTCCTCTCGGGATCTCAGGCACGCACGCACACGCGCCCGGCGTGAGTTTAAGCCACCGGGTCCGGGGCTCGAACCGCGGTTGACTACATGGGAGTTCAGCGACATAGCCATTACGCTACCTGCTGGTCCCCTCCCAAATTCTCTTTAAATGAAGTAATGAGAACTGAAGCAGGAAGAGAGTTCAAACTTGTAAAAACATCCTGTTACCAGCCTGCCTGAGTCAGCTACAGGTGCTTTCCCTTATTGATCATATAGTTCACCTCCTCAGGCTTTGGCAAGAACACGTGAGCAAGTAACACAAACTCTCCAGCCTCCTTTCACCTTGGCACTTGGCTAGGGAAAAGTCAAAGATTAAAGGGAACATGACCCTAGCAACCAAACTGGAAAAGCTATCGAATCTATGAAAGAAAATAATAATTAAACAGACCACTCCCCACAAAAAGTAAAAAGCAGGGGCAGATGACTGCATGGTGCTAACATGCACTGTTCTGCAAGGCTGACCCACATAGAAAGGTTCTGGATTTGTGTCCGGAGGCCTCCCTGAGCGTGCCAGGCATGTGTGGGATGTGCCTACTATCCAGGGCTGCTGAACGTGGAGGTGGATCACAGCGTTGAGATGCCACTGGAAATGCTGCCTCTTTTATTTTTTTTGGAGTCCAGCAACATGGCCATTACACCAACTGCTGGTCCCTGGAAGTGCTGCCTCTTTGTCTCTCTCGCTCACACAGAATAAATATATAAACCAATTTTTTTTTAGGGCCAGCCCCTCAACGTTAGTTGTTAAGGGAATTAGATCCCACATGGCTAACTGCAGTATGGATCCCAGCCTTGGTGGCTAAAAACATGCCAGGTATTTGTGTGTGCGTGCCCCAAATCCCATAGGACAGAGAAATGAAGGGACTGGAGGGAGTCCATGTTCCATTGTGGGGAGAGGGGGTGCTTTCTCTCTCCTCCCCTCTCTCTGGCAAGCAGCCGTGCCACACCTCTGCCAATTAAAAAAGAATTTTTTTTTTAATTAAAAATCTTGGCTGTTTTATTAAACTAAGGATTATTTTCTCTCACCTTATTATAAAGATATGCATGTTTGTCTTAGAATTTCTGTCTCTGTGTGACATGAAATTCTAATTAGAACAGCTAGCTAATCAAACGGAAGCTTCATTAAGTGGAAATATTAGACATCCTGCTTTTTATACTTTGTGGAGTTTTCCCTCCAAGCCTTGTATCTAATTTACCATCTTCTGCCAGGAAAAATATTATGAACACCCAATTAAGGTCAAGCAATAAAAAGGCTATTTTCGGGACCAGCAGATAAGTAAAGGCTACATCACTGGACTCCCATGTAGTTAACCGTGGTCCTGGACCCGGTGGCTTAAACTCATGCTGGGCACGTGTGCTTGTGTGCCCAAGATCCCGAGAGGAGAATGGAGGAGAAGGGATTGCGGCGTGACAATCCCCCCTGGGGGGTGATTTCTCGATTTCTGTCTCTATGTCTCTCTCTGTCTGTCTGGCGAGCGCACGCGCCCTACAGTGAAAATCTCTCAAAAAAAAAAAAATTTTCAAAATACTGAATTTTAAAGATAATGTTTAAAATATTTCTTATAATTTTGTTTGTGACTCTCTAACAACAGAAACAGTATGGTTTTAAATTTTTTTTCTTTCTCTTTTTTTTGGAGAGGTTTTCGCTATAGGGCGTGTGCGCTCACCAGGCAGACAGAGAGAGACATAGAGACAGAAAGCGAGAAATCACCCCCCAGGGGGGATGGTCACGCCGCAATCCCTTCTCCTCCATTCTCCTCTC